GATGTACAATTAAGTCCCATGTTTCCATAGTGGTAGTCAGATATTCTAAATAAATTCTATGTTCTAACTGAATAAGAAATACCTGAATAAGCTTTCCAGAAAGAGTTAGAAATAGCTACTAAAAAAAAAAAAATTAGAAACTCCAGTCTTCTCCCATCTAGTCCCTGGACAAAAGTATTTTTCTTTCATAGACCTTGCTCAAAAGTATTAAAATACTTCCAAATTTTAAATTATTCATACACTTTTAAATTTTATTTTGAAAAACTAATCCTGAATATACAGCACAGTTTCATCCAGTAGGTCTATTTTTCACATTCAATATCCTACTCAATTATTTAGGGGACACTGCTCTTTTCCTCTCAAGAGTGGATATGCTAGATTCTGCTTTATTCTGCGTAAGAACTTCTTAACTTTTCATGACACAGCTCAAACCTATTTGAGTTCCTCAAATTACCGCTTTTAGTAAAATTAAGATGTAAAACTCTAAAAAGCATCCTTAACAGTATTAACATGGCAAAGAACTGGCACCTGAGAAGACGCTTATTTGCTCACACAGTAAAACACTACAGGAAAGAAAAATGGCACATCTCTTTTTTTTTTTAATACAGTGGATTTGGCTCTATTGCAAGGACTTGAAAGGATAAAAATGCACTATGATACTGGTTAGTTTTCCTTTAAGTGAAACTAAAGATCAGATGAAAAATCTTATTTGTTGTCTCTTAATTAAAAATTACAATGTTATGCAGATATACCTACAAGGGCAAACACACACAGGTAATTCCAGAAATACACATTCTTTCTGGCTGCAACACATACAAATCACACAAAGACATTATTTCAAAATTTTTAATAAAATAAATTCAAATACATCTCATTCTCTGTCCATAGCTACATTGTTAAATATCAAAGAAATACATACTTTTAAGAAACTGGAAAAAAAAATTGAGCCACAAAAGTTGGTATTGAATATATAACTCAAAATCCAGTTTGTCCAATTTGTCAAAATTAAGCAAATCGATCTTACCATCCACCACTTAACGTAACCATTACCAATTCTTAAAAGACACTGCTAAAATATTTACAATAAATAAATAACTTACATCACTTAAAGTAAATGCTTTACAGTTTCCTGAATCAAGTGAGTAAAATCAAGAGTACCAATGCAAATCATGTATAAACAAGTCTCGAAAATAATTCCCTCTACAAAAGGAATTGTAAAGGAGGAAAACATGTAATAGTCTATTGCATACCATACTTTAGAAACAGTACATACACACATCTACAGACTCCAATACAATCTTCATTTTCTTTTCTTGCGTGAGAGGTTGAATATGGTCCATATGCCTAAATAAGTAAATGCAGCAGCATGCAGTCTTGTTTGTTGCCACATTTTAAGGTGGGGACAAACTTGTTTACATGAGCTAGTACTGGAAAGTACATAAAATACTCAGCCTTCAATAAACTGAATCGAGAACATTCAGCTCCACAGAAAAGGTACAGAAATGCCTTGTAAGATAAGGCCCATGATAACTGCCTTAAGGAGATCTTTTCTAGCACTTGTCACTGTAAAAGTTCCCCCTGGTTTTATTTGTGTACATACAGCATTTTTTAGAATAGAATGTATGCCAAGAAACTGGTTTTCAAATTGCAAGATTTCTAGTAATGTTCAATACATCTTGTAATTTTTTATTGAAATGGTTGAAGAGACTTTCATATGTACCAATCTGAAGATATATGCATTGTTCTTGCATACAGAAAACTTGTACAAAAAAAGAATGAAAAGAGGCTTAAGTTGTGGTCTGCTGAGTTCAGCTTCTGCAGAGCTAGCAAGTAGCTGAATACGAAAATCATTGCATTTTGTTCAAATCAGTTTATTCAATTTAATTTTTAAAGAAGAACAGATGTCTAACTACTAGCTTAAAAAGCGATATAACCAGTGTGTAACTCCTGGAATGGTGATAAAGCTAAATAACTGACAGCTTGAAACCCGTGCAAAATGTGGGTGTAATTTTAAAACTGTGTAATTCTTAACATTAATCTAATGAAGCCTAGAAGATCAAGTGCAAAAAAAAATGTTTATAGCTAACTAATGTTTATTGTGATCTGTATCCTGGTTTGATTCCAGGAAATTAACCACATTTTGGCAAATAAAAATGTCAGCCAACAGCAGTTCCACAGTAACAGATAGCTTTTTTTTAAACTTCAAGTAATTTACTCACCAATATAATTTGAGGACTGATAGTGTAGTTTTACAGGAAAGTCTTCTAAAAAAAAAAAATTAGTTGAGGTGCAAGAATTGTTTCATAAGTTCATATGTGGTAAAAGCTACAGCCTGGGAAGGAATACAACGAATATAATTTAGAGATAAACCACGGTATAATCCTCTTCGTATTCCATGTTGTTGATACACATATTTCAATGTCTGCACCATTGTACTGGAAAAATAAGAACTCAAATCATTATTGGATACACAGATTCAATAGTCACAATCACTTTCTTTAAATACAAGACACTTGTTTTACTTGGTTCTTAAGAGATCTATGGAGAAAAACCCATATGGGACTCCATATAGCAAAGCATTATATTTTTTTTAGGACTCAGAAGACAGTCTGAGCTTCTGCAAGAAATTGGGCACAAGGGCTGGGAATTGGAAAGAGGACAGTGCAATCCCATCTAAAGAAGTTTCAGTCTGAAAACACCTGCCCTAAAAGACATATTAAGACATTTTACACCAGAAAGGCAACAGAATATGCATAGCCAATTTGGCAGGAAGGAGTTGAGAAGCATCAGTGCTTCTTACAAAAGTTATACAGAGTAACAGAAATGTAATTTGCCCAATGTAGCACACACTTCTTGCATTAAAGCTCAGTATTTAGGCTTGTATCCCATTCTCTTTCTTCGAGCACTCAATCATACTAACCATCCTTCTAAAGCTCTGCATATAAAATTTATGTTTAGCTCTTTATTCTACATCTTGCATGTGTATGGCTTCCTCCACCGTGACAAAGACCTAGTATTTTCTTTCAAACGAGAAATGCTAGGATTTATGTTAAGTATATAATATTTGACCTTATTAAAAGCAGAATTTGCAGTGTATATGCAAGAACAATTTTCCTCACATACTTATATTGAAACTGAGCAAATGGACATTAAGTGCAAAGCAATGTAAAAATCTGTAAGGCACTCAGTATTTCCAAGATATTAAAGACATTGCTCTCTGAGAACATCTTCCATATGCCTCAAAGCTTAAGATTTCCTACTTGTTTTATCCCCTCATCCTCTAAAGACATGTATGTCTACTCTCCTTCAAGGCACAGCTCTCTCCAAATACGGTTGCAACAATATTGTTAAATTGGGAAGCCTAATGTCTGTAAAAGTAGTTCTCACAAATGCAGAAAGTAAAACCCCCAGAACAATTACCATATTTTTATTTTAAAAGTATCTGGAGTGGAAAATAGCCAAGCAAAAAAAAAGTTAAGGCTGCTAAGAAAAATAGAACAGCAACTTTCACAGTACGCAACATCTAGGTTGTTTATGAAAGGTCACCAAGAGAGACTACTTGTTAGTGAGATCCAATTCGCCAAGCAGGTGGTTCACACTGAATCACGCTGGATTCAGACATACAGAGTTCCACAAGATTGAAAGTAACCAAGATAAAACTGTCCTGGAATTGAATTTGGTTGATGTAATTTGAAATTCAGAAAGTTTTTCAAGATGAGAGGTGATTTAATACTATGATTTTAAGGATATTACAGTACTTCCACTTCTACTGGAGGAATCCCAACTACATGTGGGGTATGGGACATTACTGTAAATGCAAGAAAGGTCAGATGGTCTTATGGAACAGATTCTGCACCATTAAAAAACACTTTGAAACATTTCATTTCAGTAAAAGCACGCAGTTTCTCTCTTAGGGATCCTGCTGATATTAGAGAAAGACATCGCAAGTTGAGTTAAAATACAAAAAAAAAAGTTACTAATACAAAAGCAGTATTACTAACAAAAGTGCCATTGTGATTTCAGTTATTTTTTTTAACCCCAGAGTGATAATGGCAGCTTTTGTCTGTGTGGAAACTTATTCATTAAGAGAATGAAGAAATCAACAACATAGTAGTTTATGGGTTGTTTTGTTTTGTTTCGTTTTGTTTTAAAACTTTAAAACTAAGAATTTAACTTTGCTCAGACATCTAAGAATTCAGTTACTACAGATGAAAAGAAAATACTTACAGGCACTTTTCAGAGTCTGGGAGAACCGCGCCTAACTGCATGCGCCTACGAGTTACATCAAGGGGATATCTACAGAGGAGATATTTGAACAGCAGTTCAACCAGATGTGTGATGACTGTATGAATATTGTTTAAAAAAAGAATACAAAGTCGTCCATGTGCAACCTCCAAGTTCCCTTTTCAGTGAGTCAGGAATCCGGCTCAGATTCTCAACACAGCTGAAAGTTCTCCAAAAAGGGAGACCTCCCCTATACAACCAAAACCAGCAAATCAGATCTCTTAATATATTCCATTTGGCACGAGTAAGGAAGACACATGAAGATCAGATGAGAGTATAAAACAGTCTGTAAAACGCTGGAGGGAGAAGACACCTGAATCGAAAATAAAATTAACAGTTTAAGGATTAATAGAAAATGACATTTGTAATGCAGTGATTTAGTGAAAAATTGATGCCATATAAGTCCATTAAATTAATTTATTTTATGGACAAAATAAAATATGACAAGGACAGCAAGAGAATGGAGAAAGCAAGCAAAGTAATAAAAAAAATTAATGCCAAATACAATATCTAAGACCTGTTTTTTCTTTTTTTTTCTTTTTAATTCTATGGCTTCACAGGTTACATTGTTTTGAAAATAAATTGGAATAATAAAATTCTGCAAATTAGGTTCATGGTCAAAATTTCATAGATTACCAAACAAGATTCCAACTGATTTTAGGAGATTTGTCTGAATACGTTTAATTGACTCAATGCATGTATCTTTAAAGACCCTGAAGATTAAATAGATATTTAGTAAATGAAACAATAGGAAATAACTGAATTCCAGTGTCTGATTTAAAAACCTTACTAATAACTAGACTTTCATAAAATCATATTCTCAGATAAAAGTTTCTTTAGAATGAACAGCTATATAGAAAAAAAAAAACCAAACAATACCCAAACTTACGATATCGTCTGAGCTATTGCTCCAGCTATGCCACCACACAGCAGATTTACATGTGTTTTCAAAACTAAGACATCGGGATTATCTAATGAAGGCCGTCCAAGCAAGTTAGGTGCTTGAGCAAGTCCAATGCTCTTTAAGGTACCAAAGGTAAAAAATGAAAAACCTAAAAGGAAATTTAATTTTATGTACTTTCATAAAAAAGCAAACTATTTGTCGATGCATCATCATCATAAACAAAAAGCTGCAATTACAAAATGAAACTATTTTCCAATTCTTTTAGAAGTTTTTCTTAGGCAGAAAGAGAGAGACAAATAATATTTTGAACTTCTACAGTAACTTCTGTCCAAATGAATTAGTATTTATAATTAACATTAAAAGAATGCTTTAAATAAGCTAGACTGTGGGTTTTAAATCACTGGATTGCTGTTAAGAGTAACTCCTAACATCTTTTTAACTGAAGAACATGTCTCATCTTTTAAATATGAGTGTAGTTCAGCTGCGCAGTTCTGCCGTTCCTCCATCCCACGTCACCCACTGCTTTAGCTTGTGTAAGTATTTACATAAAAGTCACCAGAAGATGGAGCCAGTACAGAGGCTCTAAGCATCCATCTATAGAGCGCTCTGCTCTCTCATGGATCTACCTGTCTGAGAGAAATATCCTACATGCTTTCTTGTGAGAAAACTGGGAAGCAGAAGAGAAAGAACCACTACTTTACCTCTCTCCCTCTCAACTCCAAGTTTCAGAAAAGCGAGGCTTCGCCTATTGAAGATGCTTTAACACGCATTGATCAATTCTAGATTAAGATTGAAGAGTTGCAAATGCTTCTACTGACCTCCCCTCTCCATTCAGTAAAAAACAGAATCCTTGATTTTAACAGAAGCTAATTAACTAGGTGTGCAACTATATTATGTAAATTTAGTAGCGCACATTAACTGCTGAAGGACTGCCACATTCTGTTTTTAACTTACCCGCATATGGCGCCATTCCTACAACAGTTGGCATCAGCCCTCTGTAGAACCCACTAAAACCACCTTCCTTTGAAAGAAAAATACAAGTACATTTGTGGCAAGAAGTACAACAAGTCTTAACAAATTATACGAATGTTCATACAGATTCACATGACAGCAATCTGACTAGCATCATCTAGCACCAAGGAGCTAACATCAAGTTCCATTTCTTGTGCCTGAAGAATTGAGGGACAACTGCCTGGCTCCACAGGAGGTAAAGAAGTGAAAACGAAGGAGAAAAAATCTACATCCAACATCATAATCTAGGAGACATTTCTGCATTATACATATCCCTCCTCCCCAAATTTTTTTGTATTATTACTACTTGTTCTTGAAAAGCAACTTCTCTCTGCTGTTTTTGACCTCCCACTTGCGTGAGTCTTAGCTACATCTTAGCAGCCTAAGTAGAAGGAAGCATCCAGATATTTTTTTACATTAAAAAATTCAATGTGCACGCAATGAAGTCATGTTATTTTCCACCAAGCCACTATTTCCAATGCAGTGCAACGTTCTTTAAAGAGCATATTTTGCTTTGACAGGACTGAAGATTAAAAGAAAAAATACCTTTGTGTAAATCATCTTGAATGCATGGATAATTCCCATGTACTTGTGTTCCCCTTTTACTTGGAACGCCAGACGAACTCTAACCATATCAAGAGGGTAAGTACAAATCACTGCTGTAATACCTTTATTAAAAACAAAAACAAAACAAGCAAACAAAACTCACCTACACCTTATCTGATTCTAGGATTATTTTGAAAATTAGAATTTCCTTTTGTGGCAATGAATATAATAGCACATACAAATTATTTTGTTAAAGAAACACTTAAAGTCACTTATAATCAGCAAATAGGAACGCTAACTTCAGCAACACACGAAGGATTTATGTTTATACTTGGTGCTCACTGAAGCTGCATACCTAGGCCTTGATTTTCCAAAGATTTATGGGCCTAACTGTATTCACATGAGCAATCTTAAATATTTAAGTCCATGGCTCATAAGCATCAGGCTAGTCAAGTGCATCAGCTTTACTGGATTGCAACCATGAAACCTAATCCTACCATATCTTTAAAAAAAAAAACAACAAACAACAACAACCAAAAAAAACCACCACCAAATTTACATGTTTAATTTCAAAAACATTGTGTCAGAATTTGATGCTATTACTGGATATAGATACATGTATCTATCTACTGCATCTGAAAATACTAAATATATTCTAATGACATTTAAAATAAAGTCAGGATCATACTGAAGAAGAGTACTTAACTGTGTTGTATTACTGCATTTTAATAGTTCATGTTACACCAGCACTTCTGTTTTAAAACTCTGACCAAAAAAGCTATTTCTAGACTTCAGATGCCAAAAAAATCAAATCTTAGGATTCATCCAGTTATGAACTGCTTCAAAACTGATTAGATGCTGACCAACTTGTAATTCTGGAAACAGAACTCCAGTACAGAGAACAACTCCTTAACAGGTACCTGAATAACAAATTCTTTCCTACTGCTAGTTTTTGAGGTAAACCACTCAATTGCTGACAAATGATTTGGAGGGAATAGTTAAAACTGTTTACTAAAAACAGAGGTCATTTTCTGGTGGTATACCACTGTCACTAAAAAAGAAAAAAATACTGGGAAAAGGAGAAAAAGAAAGCAAAAACCTTCATGATTGATACTGTTTTCTAGCAGCCACTCTGATCTAGCTATACATCACCCTTAAAAACTGGTCCTACAGAAGATAAGCACACGTTTTATGCTGGCAGGAAATTGCCACTTCCTCTTAAGTTTTAATAGTCTCTTAATGATATCTTTTTGTGGGTGTATCATTTCCCCTCCCTTCCATGAAGTCAAGAGAAAACCACAACAGGGAGGGGAAAAAAACCAAACCAACAACAAAACCCAAACACAACAAAACACAACAACCCCAGCAAACAAACTCTTCATAACTTTTATGTCTGGAGAGAAAAAAAGCAACTTTAGTAAGCTGAATGATTTGACAGAAGATATCAGAATTAGATGGGGAGAAAAAAAAAAAATGAACACTGTAAGTGAGCTATCCAAAAAGCTGACACTGGTCAACTGTCAATTGAGAGTAAAGTTTGTGGCCTTCTGGAGTATCCTACCAGTAATTTATTTTTAGAAGACAAAAACATCTCTTTCAGAGATTTTGGATGATTCCTCTGAACAAAAAGCAGACATCTGTAGTTGATTTCTGATGTTGTCTCACCCATAGGGTTCAAAAGTTGGAAGCTGCAAAACACCAAAGCAACTTTAGGACTGTTTCCACTGACCTACGTTATTAAATGCAATCCCTCAGACTACAGCCTTTTCCTAATGGATTGCCTGAGTTGTCCAGAAATACGGTAAAATGGATGAATTCAAGCAGTTTTAAAAAAAATAAAATAAAAAAGAGAAAAAAAAGCTTTTACAGAGCTTAAGAGTTCACAGGAAAGTCATCCCACTTCAGAAAATAGAAAACTTTATCCTCCTTTTCTTTCCAATCATGCACTGATACGAATCCAGGAATATTCTCTGAACAAAGACTAGCAAACAGACCAATCAAGAGCTTGGTGAACGCACTAACTAGTGAACACAGTCCAAAAATAGTACAACTGGGGAAAAAAAAATCAGATGGAACTGAAAGAAACCATACGTAGTATTTAAATAGGATCTTTTTTTTCTTTTTAACTTTTTCTCAAAATCCTCTAGCCATGAATTCTGAAAAAAATGGGCCACAAAATATGCTTTCTTGAAGCAACTGGGAGAAGTATGTTACTGCTTACTAGTCATATAAGCAAAATGTACATACAAGGGATCAAGATTTCCTTTGGGGCCCAGAAGAGACACTATCCTTTTCAGGAGGAACGGTGGCCAGCTTTGGGACACAAAGTCATTGTGGTGAAGTCTACCAAATTACTAATCTCATCTCTACTTCCTAAATATTATGAGTTATCAGAAGTCAGACCACAGCATCTTAAGGCTGATTCCCTGTCTTGAGGAAGCAAAGTCTATCCCAAATAATGACAGCTGAGCCAAAAATCTCTCCCATGGTTGGTTCAACAGGACAGAATTGGAAGTATCTCAACAGTTAAGAGATACATACCGCAATTCCCGTGTCTGATCTGAAATAATCATAATAGGGCAAGGTAGCTCCTCCCTCCTTTAAGGAACCACTTCTTCAAAAACAGCAGACTTTTTCATTGCAAATGCTGACTCAGAAGTCAAGGAAGTCAGGGAAAGGCCATTCTTCACTTACCATATTGTCCTCAAGCACCTTTGACCACTCTTGGGGACAAGATACTGGGTTACACCGACCTTTACTGAGACTTAGCGTCAATGAAGCACAACAGAATTAGACTGTCCTTGCTTTGCTTCCCAGGCTTTGGGAGTTAACAATGAGATTAGCTGTATAGGGATTTATCTCTGTCTCCCAATTTCCCTACTATTCCTCCATTCTTAGTAATTTTCTTTCTTTGAAAATAAAAATAAAAAACCATCTGGAGCAAGAAAAAAAAACAAGTGAAATACATTTACAAAGATCAGGTACTGCAAACATATCTGATACACAAGTTTTTTGATTTCTGTATCATGCTTTTTGTACTTTATCTATAACTACGTAGATCAAATTAAGTACTAACAGGTGATTCAGAGGTATACAGTTCAAAAAGTGATAAGCACAAGTCACAGCCTTGAACTGCAGAAGATATGCTCCTTAACTAGTATAAAGATTAATTTATCAAGGAGACATCTTCTGAACAAAACAAAGCTTCGGGAACTATACATACAGAGAAGTAGCTGATGACAAAGAATATTTATCAGACAGGTTAAAGAACTGCCTAATTTACAAGTCCTAATATTTCTAGACCTCCAGTATATAATTCTGTTTCTTTCTGAATTGCACCTGAAGAAATAAACAACACAGATTCTTTTAAAATATTGACTCAAATACGTAACTGTTAATTACATACTACTTAAAATTGAGACAGTCAGTATCCTCCTAGATCAGTAATATTTTCCAATCGCTTTTACTAAAAGTAAAAAGATACAAACAAAAACATGCTTTCTGTATTAGTTTCATGGAACTTGAATTTATTCTAGATAACATCTAGTCTTTTTTGGCTTTTTTTATTTTTAAGTTAAGTGCAGGGGAGGAAATACACATTTCTGTGTTTTAATTAAAATTTTTCAATTAGAAAACTACAAAAAGATTTAGATTTGCAAAATCATTCTGTGATACAGGTGTTATTTGATCATTTTATTTCCTAAACCCCACTAACCTCTATGATTTCTCTGTCTTCTCCCCAGCTCTGTCTTTCCTTACAAGAAGTTATACACCATTTATCTGTTAATGAGGTGTTACAGCTGAAATTTGAATCACACAAGACTCAGGAAATTCAGAGTTAAAGTTTCCACAGTAACTTTAACTTGGCCTCCTTAAATATATGCATTACAATAGGGGTTTTTTTTTTCTCACTCTACTACCCCCATCCTCATTGCCTTGTTTTTCCCTTTGGATATGCTTTTGATCCTGTTTATCAGTTACAGAAGATACTCAAATGTTTCCCACTACTTTGAAGCTGATTCAGGTCTGTTGACTGCTAGTAATGTCGGAAACACTGACATAAGCAAGATTTAAGTATCAGTAGCGTACACAGAACTGAAAGCAGGCAGCTGTGGGGCTAGATGGTGTAGAAGGGACAAAAAGGATTACAAGGGTTATCCATTTTCAACAGCATAATATTGGGTTCCAGGAAACTGTGAAGACCCCTCTCCACCAACGTTGGGGTGCATGCAGCACACCATCTCCTTTAGTCATTTAAACTTGGAAGAAACAGAGTAATATCTCTATTGGAACCAGCAAGAGACTAAGCCACAGGAGTTAAAGCAAGAAATATTACCGATTGCTTTTCAAAGTCTTTTCTTATGTTGTTTGCAAATCTAGAGAACTTCTGTATCAGATTTCAAACTCTACGCTCTTCTTAGTGCCTCCTTCCTCCTCTGTATCTTCTTGGCATACTCAATATAAACCATCCCCTCTTGTTTATCTAATTAATATCCTAAAAAGTAGTTAATGCCACCTAGTTAACAAATAGTAAGACACACACATGTGATACTATTACTATACCTGACTGCTATATTCATTTCACTACACACTTAAGCCTAGCTCATCTACTCGATTTTGAGGTTCTCAATACCAGAATATTGAGTATGTTATACTTAAATGCAGCATACAGGGCATTTCATTCGATCATGGTTTCCAGATAGTACTGTATATTAATTTTATTTCTGTTACTCTAACCACACAAAAGAGATTTAGTCAGTAAGGTGCTTAAAACGATGCCAGATGCTATTAATTTATCTACGCAAAGAATTCCAGCATGTCCAACAGCGACAGAGTTAAGCTGATTATTCAATGTTTCCACAGTGGCTCACAAGTCAGGTCTCTGATAAGGCTCCTGAAAAAGCTAATAATAAGCTTTTTTTTTTTTTTTTTGGGGGGGGGGGAGGGGCGGGGAAGTGTTCTTTAGTACAGTTAAAGCCAGGGGGGAAACAAAGAAAAAAAAGGGGCGGGAGGGGAAATCTATGTATTTTTTACACTTCTTTCAGATAGAAAGCCAGCCAAGTTCTGGAACATATCTTGCCAAATGGGTTTTGCTAGTTTTTAGGATCTTTGAATTGTTTCATTTCATTCTCTTTCCTTTTTCTCTGATGGCATGCAAAGCCAAAATATTTTCATGAGGTCTTCCTAGTTTAACTAAAGGTAGTATTAACAAACCCCAGTATTTTTATTCCAAAAGAAGCTAAATAGTAATCATAACTATTTAAGGACTGTCCCTAGACAGTATTAAGCCTGTTTTACAAAGTAAAAGCACATGAAGAACCACCTCGATTAAAAATCAGTCCACTATTACTTACCTTTCCCTGTTTTTTCTTAGCTACTTTTGGCTGAATGACTAGCAAGAGGAAAATAGAAATGTATAATCATAATATATACTGGCAGTTTACAAATGGGTTTTTCTACTGCTATTGCACTAATTGATAAATGATGTTTTTTAACACATATGATCTAAAGAGTATCTGATAATTCTGTGTTGGATGTTGAAAAGTATATACGTTTCTGGCAAATCCAAAGAATCCACCCATTTAAGGAGCTGTAGTTCTCTCTATTTCTCTGGGCTTATATTCAACCTAGTGGCAATGGCAGACAGGCTGATGAGCCAATTCTACTAAAACCTGCATATTTATACTTCACCTTGATGACACTGGATTTTTCTTTTTTTTTTAAAGCCATAATAAACACTATACAAACTGTGCTTTACAACATAGCACAGAATTCAATGCTTGAACAAATATATTTTAAAGAATACTCTTAGACATTCAATTAGGCAACTATTTGTTACATTAACCATTTACTAGTATTTTTGCTTAATAAAATTTGCAACAGTTTGACCTGAAGACACATCAAATCATCCTCTAAACAAATATTAACTTTTCAGAAAAAGGGATGTCTGAAATCCAAGTACAAAACTATACCTGCCATGGATCCAGCCATTAATCGATGCACATGCCCTGAAATCCCAAGTTGCTTCTTTATTACCTACAAAATATGGAACATTTACAGTAGTCGTATATCAGAAAATACAGGGAAGTACATCACACAGTTTATTAGCACATTAATGCAAACTCTGTAGCTGTTTCCAATAAGTTTACAACACTACAAATTCAAACCAGAGCACTTAATTACTGTTAAAAGAATTTTCTGAACATTACTGCTGTTACCAATTTCTTATTAAAAACATGAAAATGCGAAAATTCTACTAACAAGGCAGAACGATTAGTTGAATGTATTTGTACTGTTTACTTCAGAAACTAGATTAATTGTTTATTTAGTTATCTTTCATGTGTGTCAAACAAGGCAAACTGAATACTATCCTTGTTGCATGATAGAGAGCAAAGGACACTGAGCAAAGTTGAAAAGTGACACATTTGAGAAGAGTAAATTTTTCTTCCATGCACAGCATGTGAAACGTACTCCTATAAAGATATTTTTAAAACTTTAACTGAATTAAAAAAAAAAAAAAAAAAAGAAAAAGAGAGAAATCAGATGAGCATTGAGAGCAAGAACTTCCTAAGTTACATTACGTCCTGGAAGGACGTTAGAAATTAGTTTCCAGGCTTTTATCAAACAACTGAGACTGTTTAAGCAGAATGCTATAAAGAAGATAATGTCATATTTTCCTTCTTTAAGAATTGGGTTTTTTTTTTCCTTTTACACATTCCTGCAAAACATCTTGAATGTTTGTTGTCAATTAATAGATAAAAGAAACTGCTATGATGCTAAATGGTTTCTTGAAATTTGTAGATTCATAAATAATTTCATTATAAAGCATGGCATGCAGTCTTTTATTCAACACAACATAAAACAAGCATAGATCAACAGCATCTACGATTACACAACAAAAAAGAACACATTAAACTCATTACAGTTACTTCTTTGTATCAGCCTTCTGAAATTTGCTCTTTAGGGAAGGGAATCACAATTTCAGTCTCACTGTCTTCAGTAAAGATCGTGCAATTTACATCACTGGGTACTAACTCTGACCTTTCAAACACGGAATTCCTCATCGCTAACAGTAAAATGGTATTTTTCACCACATATAAGCAATGTTTAAAAACATGTTCATGCTAACACCTGACCTCCAAAAGATGCTGCAGGGATTCATTATGTATTTATTACAAAAGAGTAAATGCACAAGAGCAGAAAGGAATCCACAAATCTTGCGGGACCCTGAAATGAGCGTTTTCCCTTCCAGGTCATTTTTGCCTAGAGCCTGACATAGTCATTTGTCAGGTCAATATAACAGTTATATTCCAGACAGACTTTCAAGTTTAAGTTATTCCATCCATCAAATACTAAGAATCCCAAGACAATATAATAAAGAGGTTCCATTTGACATTTTGTTCCTACATTATTCACAAAGGGCTATCTTATAGCAATACAAATAGCAGCAGACTTTAGATTACCTTTTTCCACTACAAAGGTACAAAAATCAGGGGGAATTTTCTTCTTAAGCAACACTGCAAAAAGTTTCACTGTTGCCCTGACATTTTTAATGGGTAGATTCAGATAAAATTAGGCAACTTTAGAAAAGACATGCAGCTAATTAATAAGACACAAAAGTTTCAGCGTTAGTTTCAATCACTTAAAGAATCTGTATTCATTGTAGGCAGAAAAAAAGAAAAGGAAAACAAAGTAAATTCAACTACCTTTTTATATTGGTCAAATGCCATAAACTGAATTGCGCCATATGGAAAGATTCTAATCATCATTGCCCCGTTTCCTTTATACAGCCCAAGGTAACCTTCCTTTTTGGGGACAGCACACAATGTAGAAAACACTCCTGCCAGCAATAGAAAAAGAGGTATTTAACAATTACTCGGGGGGGGGTGGGGGGGAGAATCAAGCAAATATTACTGACAATAAAGTATGCATAGAACTCAGGCTGGATCACATTGCTCGTGTAACTATGGAGAGTGGAAAATCCACTTTCAATGCCCAAACATTGCCAGAAGGAGGAGGTTTAAGGTTATCACCTTTCTCACCTCCCGGACTCAGTGGACCTCTTTCTGAACTCATGCTTTCAGGACCCATGACTTGCCTGGACTGCAAGTAATCCTATCGCAGATGATACTATGCACCCACTGAAGCTAACACTAGCAACAGAAGGAAGGAAACTGGTTGACTTGCAATTCAGTCAATTCAAAATAAATAAATACTTAAAAATCCAAAACCATGGGAAAACAATCTAATATTGCTACATGCTAAATTACAGATTAAATGCCATCACTGAGGAAATGAAGTAAACAAGTTTAACACTCTCATTACTTACAACTTAAACATCTCACACTTCCTGTCCCAGAGTTGTTGCAACAAGAAGCAATCCTATTCCCTTTTAATAGGTGGGAAATAATGCAAGATCACACAAAGTTTGGGCAAAACCTACAGTTTTATTATAAATATGTTATTAGTTACGCACAATTGCTACCACAATGACTTTTAATTTTTTTTTCTTTTGTAAAGGAATAAACTGTAACAAACAGTTTTCATTCGCATGCAACTACTTAATAATGTAAGAGCTGAACATGAAAATGGCTTACGCATTTATCTTACTTTCAGGCAGGAAAAAAAAAGTAGTTGACAAACTTTCGTTTGAAGTTTAAATAAAACGTGTTAATTAGTTTCTGGGGTTCTAAGAATACAATATTAAATGTATTTTTAAGATGTCACACTTATTGCACGCCTCTGAACGTACTTAGGCCATGATAAGAATTTCTCTCTACCCTGCAATGATGAGTTACTGTTCTTATTTCTTAAAACACACGCTCTGAGATCCATGTAGCACAAACTCCACAGAGCAAGGACAGTAAAAACATCTAGTGAGGACTTCGATGAACTAATCCATCGTGCCTCTGCACTTACAGGCATCGCAGACACGTAATTTTCTTTTTTGCCTACATTTAACAAGGACATGCATTCAAGTCAGACACATTTCAAATAATCAGCATCATATCTAACACCCTAAATAGGGAAGAATATAAGATTTTACTTGCCAATTATGGCACAATACAAAGCAAACAGAAAATAAGGATTTAAAATATCAGTCAAACCAAGTATTTCAGCCTTCAATTCTTAGACTGCAGATTTGAGTGCATACTTTTGTGACAGTGTTACCAAAATGCCATATTACTTGTGTTTCCCTTTTTGGTACAGTGAAGTGAATATATAGCCCTTGAACTTTGTTTCAGGATTTATTTTTCCAGCCTTCAAAAAAAAAAAAAAATATTTTCTTTAGTCTCTAAGTTAAAAATTCTAAAGTTTCATTACATGTAAACTTAACCAACTCAAAATTATTATTTTTTCTTGACAACTGTAACACACTTAGATTTCGGAACATAAGTTATGACATATTTCAAGAACATATGACACGAAATACCTCAAATACTATGCACAAGAGGGCACTGTTACAGCCCCACAGAGAATGGTTCTGAACGTGCTGACCACTGTGAGTTTTTTCTCTCACCATGATGCAACACAGATGCCGGATACAGATCACCCGCACCTTACACCAAGCACAAAGCCACTTCTATCTTCAATTCCTATCAACCACGCTGCTGTCTGCGAGCGTAAGTGCACGTGAGTCTTGCAGGATTGGGCGGCCACTGTCTTGTAATCACCAGCCCCCGTGAGGGCTACCAAGCTCTGAAAAGCACCAATTCCCTCAGCCCCTGGAAACTGGCAATCACCGTAGCAGACTGCAGCAGTTACCAGCGGTGACAGTTTTTACACAAATGATCCAAGTGTTTAACCTGTGGTTACCAACCTGCTGCTGGCTTCAGTAGGAGGAAGATCAAGCCTAGTTCTTACATGCCGTATTGAGGATTATTCTGACACCTCAACCTCTAACACATAAAACCAATACCGCAACTTACTCGCACAGGGCTTAGTTTTTCTTTTTAAACACTAACAAAACATGGCACAGAGACTGACCAGACGGATACAACCTTCTGTCTGATTAGCGCCTTTTTTTATCAGCCACATCGTTGAATAAATCAACATACCCAAACCATACACATTGCATTTAAAACCAAAAATTATACGCACAGCAGCCATCTTACCTAGATGTTTGTAATGGTGGTTATGAGCTTGCAGCAAAATCTTTACTCGATCCAGTGGTGCAGTAGTTGTTTTGGCACAACATCCTGCAACACCTTTCCAAGAGGGGAAAAACAAAAGTGACGGGATGCAAAAGTTCTTTACGTCAGCAGATAAATAAGGGACTTTTCTAATGTATTTTTAAATGGAATAGGGGAGGAGGAACTCAGTTAGGAACTGGAAAAAGACCCGATGACAAGTAATCAGCCTGTATTGGAAGTACGTTACAAACCCCTTAAAGCCTTAATGAAATGTATAAGCTACTTTTCCTGATTACAAAAACCCAGGCCACCGTCGCTCTCAGCTGCTGAAGTCACAGCAGCAGCTTTCAGAGAAAGTTACTCAAGAGTTTTCCGCCCTGCTTCCTCCTTCCCTTCTGCGGAGAACAGCCGCAGCTGCCCTCCCCAAAGGAGCGGGCTACGTGTCCGCCGTGTGCCCTGCGCTACTTCAGAGCCAGATCCAACAGCCAGCGCAGACTGACGTGAAAACTAAATAAGCAAAACATCCTCCTATCCCCTTGCAAACCAGACAGCCGGGACAACACCCCATCGGAAGAACAAACAGGCTTTTTCTCTCGAGGTTGCGTTTGCTAGGCTGCCCCTCCCTTCACACCACCTTAATCTTCGCAACAGCATACGCCCCTTTACTCTCCGCACCGCCAGCCGCAACAGCTTCGGGACAGGGATAACCCGCCTTCCCCGAGTGCCCTAACCAGGGTTTGGGCTCTTTGACCATTTAATTGGCGACTAGTCGGGGCTCTTCGCTGGTTCTGACGGACGTGCCAGTCACTCGCGTGTACCGAGCCACCTGCGTTAGCCCATCAGGAGAATAAAGGGGGGAAAAGGAAAAGAGAGCCCCCTGCTTCCCCAGGGGACGGTGCCCCCGACAGCACCTCTGCCGGGGT